TGCAAGGAATTGTGTCTAAATCACTCGAGGAACAAAACCCAAACTGAATCAGGAATTGCAGTTATACAAACACAAGCTCTCAATATAAAAATAAGCGTGTAGCTCAAACACTGAGCGGGTCAACCAGGAAGACAAATCCAGAAAATTACTGTAAGTGTTGCATTAGACCATTGCAGTAAGTGTGGCACAACGACTAATTCATAATTCATACAGGTTGACAATACTCAATCACTGTATGCTATTATACAATACATAATATAATAGGTGTTCAGATTAGGCAGGTTAGCTCTCTACATAGTGTAAGTTTATATACGGTCAAGAAAAAAGCAAATCCGCAGACCTTTGATCTGGAAACTTCTATTACATCAGAACAACCGGTGACATTAAACATTTAAATGCGAGTCCAAACTTCGTAACATAATTTGAACTTTTGGCTTGCTTTTTGTTTACGTAACATACCAACGTTTTTTTTTTTTTTTTTTTTTTTTTCCGTCCGTCTGTCCCACATTTTTGTCTTGTATAACGGCCATATGTAGACCGATCATTATTACATGTCATTAATTAAATGGACTATCAATCATAGGAGGGCGAAAAATAAGCCTCCCTCCCTCTCTTTCTCTCCCCCCTTCCCCTCCCACTCCCTCTCAGTCGTTTGAACTACTTCCCGGTTAGCTAGCGTAGTGAGCACAAGAGCTAGAGCAAGGCGTCCTGTGTGAGTTTAAAGATTAAAGTCAAGGAAGGGGTGTAAAAATGACAATAAAAACACAAAATTCTATAACCACTTGTCACAAGTGTCAGTAACGTATCATTTAGTGCGAGGTGTTGACACCAGCACTAACTAGGTGGGATAAACAGCACGGCTAGGTGACTGGCTGGGATATATTTTAACAACGCATTTTACGATGAAAGATGATTATTATTGGAGTCTTGCCAGGTGTGAAAGCTGTGTGCGCCTGGTATAGCGCTATGTGAGAGAACGATAAGATCCTAAAAATATAGCAAGCGCTCCACCGAATATGTAAGTCCATTTATAGTAAGCCTTTGATAACATTGGCTGATGCAACCCATTCGATTTTTTTTTCCTTCAAAATCTAGTTTAGTATTGAAGGTTATGAAGAAAAGGTGGATAAGATTACAAAGTTAAATTCAGCAACATCTTATATATGAGGTTGTAAGCATTACCTATAGGTCTATATAAGCATATCTATAAATGGATGGATACATAGATATAACAAACACACAACGTCCAGAATGATGAACCAAAAACGCTTAACCCCGAAATTTATCATGAGCGAATATGGGCACGAGGTTTAATTGGTGATAATTACAAAATTCGTAGGAAGCGTACATATTTCTGTACATGAGGGTTGGTTTTGGTCCAACTCCCGCAGCGAACCCATGCTTTCCCACCCACGTGCTTTTCTATACAATAAGGCCTTGCTCTGTTATTTATTCTTTCATGGGATAACCCTGGTGCCGGCTTTAAACTAATGATGGATATTTTTTTTAAATCAAAGAGGAAGCCGGGGAAACTTCTATAATCAAAATGGGGTAGTTTATTAAGGCATGATCTGGGACGGGTAATGATGACGTCACGGACGGGCAAACTACTCGGCAAATAGGTAGTTCCCTCGTTTTGTCTATGATGTCACCTTTATAGCTGTCCGACGATGTGTCCTCTGTTCATGCCCGCTCGTGTAGACAAGCCTTTAGAAATGATAATGGCGAATAATTCCAACAAGAACCGGATGGAAAGGACTGGTAACTACGATGAATATTAAACCTCTTTACGTGTTACATCCCTAATGCATGGCCTGCCAGATTATATCTCGGTATTTATAGCTCTTAAAGGCGAACGATATTTGGAGGGGAAATGCGCAGTCACTTCTCTTAAGTGTTTCTAGAATCTTCTAGAAACATTGAATGCAAGCGACATACAACCATGCCGTTTATGATAATCTGTGAACAGTAACAATATGTGAGTTGTGAAATAACCATATTTGTTCAGCATCAAGAGTTCTAGACGTTTGTATAGAAACAATGTATTTTCTCAAATATGAGAGGCCGTCGGCAAACTTAGAATGACTAAAAGCGTGGTAAATGAGTGTGTATTTCCTGAACGGTGCAGTGTGTGTGGGTGTATGGGGGCGAGGGTTGAGTTTACTCACTGAAAACAGTCTGACTTTATTTGGAATACGAAGATGCTTTTTTATAGTCGTAAGGGAAATGGGAGACCTATTAAAATTTATTATTTGAAAAGTGAGAACATGGCGTCTTTGGTAGTGGTGTTCCGGTATGGGTCATGAAAAAGAGAAAATTCAGCTCACGGAACACTTTCAAGAATTCTACAAAAGTTATAATTGAGCCTCATTCGTAATAATATATAAGAGTTCGTATTTGTCAATGGTCAATCCTGCTCGGTGGAGAAGGCATTCTTCTTTCAGCTTTTTAGGACTCTCATCCAGGACAGTTAATTAAAGGCTTATGTTTTGGTTTTCAGGACGCGTGGACGAGAGAGAGCTGAAGTCATCCTTCCGGCTAGGGGGATACAGGGGAGGCGCAGAGACTCCTGAAACGGTGAGTTCAAACAAAGGACTAACGATCTCTTTCGAAAAGGGAAAAGTTCTTGCATTTTGCTTAATTTTTTTTTTTTTCTCTCTCTCTTAAGGCGCCGCGGTATTTTCTTCTTTTGCTCTCTTTTTTTTCTTAAGGTTTTGAATGATGCCATATTAATCGCGCTCATGTTTTCTTCGGATAGCTTTTACTAATTTTCAAAGCACAGCCTGGCTTTAACGAGCATTAATTCCAAATGTAAATTTCGGAGGATGACATGAAGGCTAATCTTTTGTACACGTATATCGACATGCATTCTGCGTTAGTTTCTATACAAGCCATTCTATCGGGAGTTCACAATTGTCAAAATCACCCTGTTAATTCCTTTTATTAATTCGAATGATCAAGACGGGAAAGTTAGTTTCTTGAGTTCAGTTTTTATTCGCCCCAGAACGAGAATCTACGACTGCCCAAACGAGGACTGCCTTTCATGTTCCCTTTGTTCTAAATGACCTAATATTTTCTTTCCGTTCTTTTTTCCTCGGTTCTTACCCTGAGCGGCCCGGCAGAAGGTAGGCCAGCAAGCCCCTCAGCTCCGCGTTTTGTGTTCAATGTGCAGTATTTTTTTTTAATGTCAGCTGATGATGCTTCGTGTGTGCTGTCTCCGCTCACTGTACGATGGTCAGGTCTATGTCGTATAATATATATTTGTGTTCTTTTTCTTCTTGCGGCTCTGTGGGATGTTATTTTTACTTTCAGAGGAAGCTTGACGGTGGCGTTGGGGGTTGGAGGGGAGAGAGAAATCAAAAGAGAAGAAGGAGAACGGTTATTTTGTGAAACAAGTGATTTGAAACGTGTGCCATTTTCGTTCCAGCCTTCATGTTAGGAGCGGCAACGAGACTTGTGATGGTAGCACGAGGAATGAGAGAGGTGCCTATGTCCTGTTGCTCGGGTATGGATGGCACTCCTCCGTTGGCACCTGCGGGGGTTTCCCTGGTGCACTGCTAATGGGCTTATCCCGTTGTTTGCCTGTGTACGACCGCCCCCTCTCCCCCTCCCTTTGTTAACGCAGATGATGACGCTGCTTCTGTTCTGCATTAAGTATCCGACTAGTTGTTGTGTATCTTGGCACTCCAGGCTTCTTTGTTCAGTAGCGCTAAATGAATATGTTATGTCGTCCCCTCACCTGGCTTTTGAACTTCAGTAGGTGGACCTGTACACCGCCAAGCCTTTATTTATGTTTTATGTAATGTGTAGATTACTAGTGCGATGGTAAATCTTCATATACAATGTGTATGTGGTATGGAGAATAAAAAAAATACTACCTTGCCTGCACATGGCCATAAAATCATGCGGGAGTCCATGAATCCATTCTTTAGATGACCAACTTCCGCAGAGAAAGGCACCATTCTCCACGAAACAATTTCCCTCCTTGGTGTCCTCATGGGGTTTCATTCCTCTTCATGTGTCACGGTCTTCGCTCGGTCTTCATTTATACGCATCTCAGTCACTGTCTGACGTGGATTGAGCCGTGAAGCCTAAACAGTGACCCGTGAGAAAGCTGTGTGAATTGAGAAGTCGAGCAATGACGAGCTTGAGAGGGTGTGTGTGTTTGGGTAACGACGGTGGGCGTGAGTGGTTGTCTGGAGTTGAGGTGGGCGTTCCTGGGCCCGAGATCGATGGTGACTTTGATGACAGCCGCTGTCTAGACAGCTCATGGTCCACCCCGAAGCCCCATCCCACGGGTTTTCTTACACTGACAGCCGGTCTTGTGGTCTCCCTTTCCTTCATATGATTTTACGTCATCCTTCTTTTAGCTATGTTTTTTTTTGCTAAACTTGGACAATTTCCTTCCTTTTTTTTCTCTTTCCTCTCTTGCCATTATTTTACCCTCTTTTCTTTCCTTTTCTACCTTTTCGTCTCGTTTCTCTTTCCTTTTCTACCTTTTCGTCTCGTTTCTCTTTCCTTTTCTACCTCTTCGTCTCGTTTCTCTTTCCTTTTCTACCTTTTCGTCTCGTTTCTCCTCACATTTCTCCTATCCTTACTGTTTTTAGCCCTATCATCCCAAACTCTCCTGTTATCAACCTTCCCTCCCTCTCCTCCCCTCTCACTCCCATTCCCTTCTCCCTTTTCTCTCCCCTTTCCCTCTTGCCCCTCCCCTCTCTCCCCCATTTCCCCTCTTCCCCTTCCCCATCACCCTTCTTCCCAATTCGACCCCCCCCTTTTTCCCCATCTCCCATCTTCCCTCTCCATTTTCCCATCTCCCCTCTATTCCCCATTCCCGTTCTCCCTTCTTTCCCCATCTCCCTCCTTCCCCCTCCCTTTTTTTCCTATCTCCCCTCTTTCCCCATCTCCCTTCTTCCTCCCCGGTCTTCCCTCTCGACCTATCTCACACACGTCCCTTTGTTTACACTTCCCAGTACCTGTAAGAGGGTCATGGCGCATCTAGACCCCGGTAGGCTTAGTGCTGCTGTCACTCTCGAAAAACATTGCGTCATCCCAGAACACGTGACCGGGATAGTTAGCGATAATGCGTGTTGGTGAATGAGAGGGAGGTACAGAGGGAGGGGGTACCATGCACAACATAGTACGGGGAGGGGTTGCGGTGTGTTAGCCTGTCTGTCCCTCTCTGCATGACGGCGTAGAGGACGGCGGTGTTGCGATGGTTAGACAGCTTCTTGATCATATGGTTGGGCTGAGATGAGGTAGATTGGGAGGGGGAGGGGGAGGGGGTATTCTGCTCTTTGTTCTATTTGTTTGCTGTTCTTTTTTAACTTCTAATTGTTTTTCTTCTCCCGTTTATTGTTTGTTATTATTCATATTATTATTCTACGCATTATTGTTATTTGTGTTGGTATTGTTATTGTTTTGTTATTGTTTTTTGTCGGTATCAATCATGATCATCATTATTATTATTACTATTATTACTATAGTAATGACTTTTGTTATTGATATTGCTATTGTTATTGTTGTTACTGTCATTATTAAGATTATTGTTATTATTATCATCATCAATATCCTTATGATTATTATTAATTTCATTATTATGATTATTAATGCTATCATTGTTTTTTAATTATGATTATTATTATGATTATCATGATTATTATATTATTATTGTTATTGTTATAGTTATTATTATTATTATTATTATTATTTATTATTATTATTATTATCATATCATTATCATTATTATTATTATTATTATTATTATTATTATTATTATTATTATTACAATTGTGATTTTAATGTAAGTGTTTTGAAAAGTATACATGGTCGTATCAGCCTCGTATTTTGCACCCACGCGATAAGAGTTATCAGTATTCAGATACGGATGGATGTTTTTTCTTCATATTGTCCTATCATCCCTAATCTCGATAAGCGTAAGACTCTTCAGGTAAACATTGGAAGGAAATTCTTACAAAGAAGAGTTGTCGTGTCATATTTCTCGATTTTTTTTTCTCGAAAGAATGGAGAGCGGAAAGAAAAACGAGGATACGTATAAATTTGAGGGGGGGCGAGGGGGGCATGAAACGTCTTGGCCAATTCGATAAATGAAAAGAAAAGAAACAAAGTTTCTTGCATTTCATACTTGTTATTGCACTTCATACTCATTGTTGGGGGGGGAGGGGTGTTGGAGGAGGGGGAGGGGGTATTGTCTCCCTCGGCGACTGTTACTATATAAGGATTGAGTCGAGAAAATGATAATTGAGTGATAAGGGGTTCATAAAAGGGAATTGGTGTATTGGGGTTTACTCCCTCCTCTCCTCTCCTCTCTCCTCTCTCTCCCAAACAATCTCTCCCTCTCTGCTCAACACACTCGTCCTCCTCCGCGTCCTCTTCTCATCTCAATCGTCATCTCATCCCCACATCCTCCCCTCTCCCATTGTCTCCTTCCTCTCTCTTCTCTCCTCCTCCCCTCTCCTTTCCCCCCCTTCCTCTCCTCTCTTCCGCCCCCTCCCTTCTCTCTCTCTTTCCCCGTCCTTTTCTCATCCTCTCGTTCTCCCCCTCCTTTCCTCTCGCTCTCCCCTCCCTTTCTCTCTCTCCCTCTCTCTATTCCTCTCTCTCTCTCCTCTCCCTCTCCTCTCTCGTCCTCTCCTCTCTCGCGGCCTCTCTCTCCTTCTCTCTCTCGTCATGTCATATCTCTCTCTCTCTCTCTCTCTCTCTCTCTCTCCTGGTCCCGGAAGCGTGCGGATGTGAGTTCCTCCGCTCATGCTGGCTATATAGAGATCAAAGCAGGGTGCAGTTGACCCCTATTGATATAGAGTGAGTGTGCAATTCTTTTTTCCCGTTTGCTTTCTTCCTCATCCTCTCTTCCTCCTCCTTCATTTTTTCCGTCCTTTTGTTTCCCTCCCTTATTTTCGTTCGGCATCTTCTCTTCTTTTTCATTATGTCTTTTCGTCACCTTCCTGTGTGGTTGTTGTTCTTCTTTGCTTTCCTTTTTGTTGGTCGTTTCTCTGCTATGTCTCTCTCGCGCTCGATCGCCTCTCTATTCTTTACTACTTGACAGCATAGGGCGATGCCCTGCTGAACAGGACACCAACGCGCGCTGTTATTCCGATCCCTGACCTATCCGACCGCGGCACAATACTCGTGTTCCTCTTCTCCCTCCCTCCTCTCTCTCTCTTTCTGTCTCTCTCTCTCTTTTTTGGGTCTCTCTCTCTCTCTACTGTTCCTCCTCTCTCTCTGTCTTCTCTCTCTCTCTCTCCTCCTCTCTCCTCCCTCTCTCTCCTCTCTTCCCTTCTCTCTCTCTCCTTCTCTCTCTCTCTCTCACTCTCTTCTCTCTTCTCTCATCTCCCCTCTCTCTCTCCTGTCTCATCTCCTCTTCTCTCTCATGTGCCTCGCCCTCTCCCTGTCGCTGCTCTCTCGTTCCTCTGCTCTCTCTGCTCGGCGCTCCTCTCCCCTCAGTGCCTCTCCCTCTCTTCCTCCTCTCTCTCGTCTCTCTCTCTCTCCCCTCCTCCTCTTCCTCATGCTGCTCCTCTTCTCTCTCCTCTCTCCCCCTCCCACTTTTTTCTTCCGTCATTTGTGGCTCCCGTCTTCCTCTCCTCTCCCTTCCTTCCTTCCTCCCTTTCCTCCCTCCTTCCTCTTCCCCCATCCCTGCTTCCGGCTGGCCTTGTCCCCCCTGCCCTTTTCTCCCCTCACCCTTTTCCATCTTCGCTGGGTTGTTCAAGGTTCCTCAACTGCCCCCCCTACTGGGACACCCGCCTCTTTATACGTGTGATTGAAGGGGCAAAGATATGGTCAATATTGTTTTGTTTTATATCCCCATGAAAATCTTTAAGATTCCTGACATTCCATCAGCGCCAAGCTCAACATGGTCACGGTGATTGGCAAAAGCCCCGATATAATCACAACCCCGGCCGTTGCGCTTACCGTTCTCACTCCCTCCTCTGCCCTTCCCCCCCTCCCCTTCGCCCTCCTTCCTAGCTTCTCTTTTTTTTTTTCTCTTATCTTCTGGTTTCTTCCGTCTGCCCTTTTTCCTTCTTTCCTTTCTTCTTGTGCCTATTACCTTAATAAAGCCACTTCTTCTTCTTCCTCTCTTCCTCTTTCTCATCTCACTCCTTTTGCTCCTCTCCCCTCTCCTCTTTCATAATTTTCCGGCCTCCTCTTCCTTCTCCTTCTCACATTTCCTCTCTCTTTCTTCCCCTCCCTCGTTTTCACCTTTTCTTCCTTTCCCTCTTCGTTCTCCGCCGTCGTCCTTTTCTTCTTCCCTCCCCCTCCCGCTGCCGCCGTTCCAAATTCAGCCATTTCCCCCCCCTGGTCTGACCCTCCTCTCCCCCTCTCACCCAGTCGAGCACCCCGCTCCCACGTCTCTCTTCCCCCAGAAATACAGTTCTATCTGCGTTCCCCACTCTCAATTACACCCCTGGTCTGTCGCACGTTCCGCCCTCCTCGCCTCGTCCTTCCCCCTCACCTAACCTCCTTCCCCCTCAAAGTTCCCCCAGCTTTTCCCACATACTGCGCCTCACTCCCGCGTCTGTACTTCTTACCCCACCACCGTCAGAACCCATTCTTCCCTGTACTACCCCCCACTTACCCTATTACCCCACCCCCCTCGTTCCCTCCTCCTACCCCTTATCTATCCTCCGCCCCTCTCCTCTGCCCCTCTACCCTCCTACTCCACTCCCCTTCCCTGCTGCTTCTCCCCTCCTCTGCCATACGCTCCCCCTCCTTCCCCCTCCTACCTCCATATCCCCGGTTCCCTCC